TTATGGGTGAGAGTGCTACACCTGGCCTGGGGTCAGTAGTATGCATTACAATATGAAGAATGGAGCTGCCCTTTTCCCCTCTCTTTGCTCTTTGCTGCCTTCCACCACCATGAATGGCTGCTCTCTTCCATGTGCTACTCTGCCTTGGAGCCAGCTGTCTATGGACTGAAACCTCCTAAACTGTGAGCTAAATAAAACTTTTCTTCCTTAATTCTGGGTGTTGGGTACTTTGTCCCTGCAATGAGAGAAAAATAACTGAGACACTCATATTTTATGCTTTTGTAGCTTTTGGGTATCCAACACATAACCTAGATCATGTAGAATTTGCCTCTTTGTTTGATTTATTTCACTCATCACGATGTCTCCTAAGTTCATTCATTTTGCCACAAATGTCAGAATATCCTGCTTCTTAAGGCTGAATAAAAATGCAGGCCCCTATTAAATAGGACAGTTGTGTTCCATTTCACCAAATGCTTTACCAATCTCCCTCAGTCCCACAATCAGTCCTTTCAACAATTTAGCTATCAGTCTCTGTCAGCTTTTGCAATTTTATCTTCTGGACCTAGAAAGAACTTCTCTTATTTTATAAGAATATATCTTTTTTTTTTTAAGTACTGGGGATTGAACTCAGACCCTTGCGCTTGACAGGCAAGTGTTTTTTCTACTGAGCCATCTCCCTGGCCCCTAAGAATATATCTTTTATATCTGTAATAATCTTTCATGGCTGATAAAAAAAGGAGGCATATTTAGTTTTATCTTGGCTGCGAAGATTATGTTGATCTGAACCTTATGGTTTTCAGAAGTTGTGTTTCTCACTGTCAAATCAGACATTGTCACATTTGTGACCACCTCGGTGTTTGTTACCCTTAATTTAGTAGGGTCTGACTCCAAGGACTTATTTATCTTTGAAAAAAGAAAGAAAAAGGCAGAACCTTCTAAAAATGGCCTCAATAGTAGAGTACAGAGAACAAGGTCATCCTAGATGGGGTCTTTGTGTCTTCTCCTTGTTGACAAAGCAAAAGTGGTTTTTATATAGGAAAAAAATCCTGAAACAAGAGCCATGAGACATCTGGATCTTCATAGTTTTGTCATTGATTTGGCTCTCTGGCATTGAGAAAATATAGCACTATATCTCATGATCAATTACCCTATGTATGAATGAAAGGATTGAATCAAAATATTTTTCAATGTTCATCTTGCTCTGACATTGTGTAATGCAAATGACACATACTCTAACCTTCTACAGTTCATGCGCCTACTGTCTGAGTTAGAGATAAATTAAATCTTGCATTGACAGTATTTAATAAAGCACAAATTTCTGAGTTACTGTTATGTGAGTATCTATGTTTATGTCCAAACACAGAAGATTAGAATTTGGATGTATTTCAGCAACATGTGAGTATCCAATGATTTTTAAACTATTTTTAGTCTTTCAGTATAATAGAACTCAAACAAAAACAACAAAACAAATACATCAAAATATGTTTGATTTGAATAAAATGGCAAGCCACCGAGGACACAAGCATGCTTTGTAAAGCAGGCATGTGTATATTGCACCTTACACATTTATAACCTGTAGCTCCAGCAATATTGCAGTTCATCAAGTGTCAATGAGAGAGAAGCTGTCTCAAATGTTTTTTTTTATTGGACAAAAGTAAGAAGAGCCAGAAAACCTAGTTTTCTTGTTGCCAAGTTAAGTTATCTAGGACAGTGAGTCATCCATTTATTCTGGACAAACCACATATGTTTCTACCTATCTAAAAGTCCACACAGTAACACCAGGATAGAGCTATCTTCATTTATGTCCAAGTGTGTATATCAAGCTAAAATAATATTCTATAGATAATTTCTTTTTGGGTTACAGGTTTATTATGTATTTCATCAAAAAAATTGCTTATATAAACTAAACAATGAGTTAAAAAAATAAAAATTTTACTATCTGTACAGAACATTTAATAATTTACAGGACAGAGTTGTAGAAGAACCCCCCCACACACATACACACACTCACACACACATACAATGAATATATTCAAAATATATAAAGCAATCCAACTTCAATGAGACATAGGGGCTTTCAGAGTGATGGAGGGGTCATGGTAGAAGCAGAAAAAATAAAAGAAGGGAACATTTAATACACATGGATAGCACCAGACTTCTATATTTATAATTATTTATTTCCTAACAGACTTGCAGTATAATTGAAAGAAAAAGAATATAGAACATGTTACATTTTCTTCCTTGAAATAGTTAACTGAGACATGATATACACTGTTGCTTTAATTCTTAAATCATGCAATACTGTAGCTGTAATAGCAAAAAAAATGTGAAAGTTTTATCTCCATGTGACAAGGGATTGGTGACAAGGAATCTCTTTGTGGTTAGGGCTGGAAAAGTAGACAGTGGAATTCAGGTTTAATCCATGGTCTGTGAAGCAAAACTTTGGGACATGGTGCTGTGGGCAAGAAATTCACTAAGGGTCAATTTATGGATGAATTTGGGAACATAACTTTTGGGAGGATTCAAAAATTAGTACTTAGGCAAAACTGGTGTGATAGTTAAAGACATATTTATAACTTGCAATTTTATCTTCTGGACCGAGAAGGAACTTCTTTTATTTTATAAGAATATATCTTTTATATCTGTAACAATCTTTCATGGCTGATGAACAGAAGGAGACATATTTAGTTTTGTCTTGGCTGTGAGGATTATGTTGATCTGAACCTTATGGTTTTCAGAAGTTGTGATTCTCACTGTCAAATCAGACATCGTCACATTTGTGACCAACAAGTCCTAGGATGATCAAATGTCGCATCTACATCACAACGTTATGACCTCAAGTTCTACCCAGCATATATATCTGATCATATCTGCTTGGCTATAGGTATCTATTATAATTGGTTATCTATTATCTAAATTAATCACCAAAACTTATTAGCTTAAAAGAATATGCACAGTGATACTTTGGTTGTTGAAGCTGATTCACTCAAAATTTGTGTTTGAACAATAAAAAGCTCAAGAGCTGAGTTCTTATAAGAAATCATGGAAAACCAAATAATTGGTTCTAAAGCCCACTTATGAACTTGTTTTTCCAGGATTTTAATTTTAAATTTAAGAGTGTAGGTTGTAGAAATACATCCTCAATTGTAGGGTCTAAAATATCTAAATACAATGAATATGCTATATTAAACATCAAAACATATTACAATAAATAAAATTTTAAAATGTATATAGGTGTTTTAACTTGATGTGGAGGCACACTGGAAGCTAGCATGCTGGTGGCTGTAGAGACTTTGGAGGAGAAGGAGAAATGTTATTTTTTTCAGAGTCCCCTTCCAAAGTGACTGCTAGCCATATACATTCTGGTGTCTTTCTTTTTTGGTCTTTTTTCAACTTTTCTCACTAAAACTTTGTCTGCATGACAGCAATGCTTAGCCTGAAGTATGACTCCTTGTAACTCTGGTGAGACATGGTTCCAGACTAATTCTAGGCCCCTATAAGTTTTTTTCAAGTTGGATTTTGGGTTTAAATATTGAACAAAGTTATGAGCACTGAGCAGAATTTTTCAAGCTTTACTGCTCCATAGTGGAAAGTTTGAACTTGGAATCATCAGCCAAGACATCTAAGAGGAACTTGGCAGGGTCATTCTAGCCCTGTCTCCCAGGATCTGAGACTGGTTGTCCAGAATGGTTGCAGTCTCTGACAGCTGGCTAGGGCTAGAGGCTCCTCTCACTGTGGCTGTATTGCTGGGAGGCCTCAGTTCCTTGCCCTGTGGGACTCTACCTAGCACTACTTGTATGACTTTCTTAAAGAATGATTCAAGCAACAGAGAAAGAAGGAAGTCATTGTGCCTTTTATGCACCAATTTAGGGAGTCATATTCAAATATTTCTACCATTCTCCATAACACACAGGCAAAAAGAGGAAAATTGGGCTTCTATGTTCAAAAAGAGAAATGTGAAATATTGTGTGGACAGATTTTAAAGCCAGTTTAGAGTGATAAAGGTATATCACATCAGCTCAAAGTGAGCCAGAGTCATTTGTTATGTCTTCCTAGAAGGCACATGTGTCGGTGAGGACCCTTTAACAGCCAACAGATTCAAAAAGTTGTAATAAAGAAGCCATTTGCAAAAATGTACTCAAGGTATATGGGAACCATAGGGATGGTCCATTACCACAGCACTGGTAACAAATGGACTATTACCATCTGAAGGAGCTTTGGAATGGAATAATTCTTGGAACGTGGAGGAAAAGAATTTTGTGGAGGGACTGCTTTTGGTGAGGAAGCCAGGTCAAGGTTCTTTATAAGGACCTGGAAGAGCAAATATCATAGTCTTGGGCTCATCTCTCTCCTGTCTCCTAAGGCTTCCATTTACCGAAACATAACTTACAGCGAGAGGTCAAAAGACCCATCAGCTTCTGAGTAGAGGTCAGGCTGAAAGAGAAAGAAGAGTTCTTCCACAAGATGAAAAATAAGAACTTTGTCTTGAAGAATGAGGAAGAAACAAGGCTATAGACAGCTGGATGTATATTGAGCTCAAAACACAAGAACACATAGACCAAACTGGAGATGTAGGTCAGGCTTGGAGTACTTGTTCAGCATGCTTGAGACACAGGCAGGGTTCAGTCTTCAAAATCCATCACACAAAAAATGGGATTAGAAAAAAATGACAGAGAAATGACTCTGCTTAGCAAAGTGGAAGCCATGTGGCATAGAGAAATTAGAGTAGATGGAATATGGCTGTGGGTGGAGCTATGCTTTGCAATATCTGAAACAGAGAAGGGTTTGGACTTGTGATAAGCAGCAGCATTTGGTAATTCATGAACACTGATGTGGCAAGACAATCAATCGGAAAGGCAGAGAGAAGGGAAATCTAGAATAGGTCTGCTTAGGTATAGGGAATAAAGTGAAACAATGTCATTAAAAGTTTTATTAACAATACTAAAAAAAGTTTCTTTTGAATGACCTTTCAGGTAAATGAAGTACTAGGTACTAAATCGTCAAATGGCAAAGACTGGAAATCTGCATGTCATCCTTGTGCAGGGGCCATGCTAAACTTTTCTGTATCATTCCAATTTTAGTATATATGCTACCAAAGCGAGCACAATACTGCGAATTTGTTGGAATGAGGTGTCCATCTTAAGGACTCGGATGTGCCAGAAATGCAAGCAAGACTAGGATTCTGAGTATTGTAATCTAGAACAATTATATTACAACTGAAGTGTGAACATAGGAGTGAATAAAGTGTTGTAACAGGAGGAAACAGGCCAAAGTAGCTATCAATTTTCCTCTGGAAATCGGTTCTTCTAATGACATCAGCATGGGCTGAAAGTTTGTCTTGAATAAACACAAATATTTATTCAAAAATCCATCTAATGGGCCAGCCAGATATCTCAGGGAACTAAAGCACCTGCTTAGGCCGAGCGCAGGGATGGAGGTTCGATCCCTAGCCTGCAGGGCCAGCCCCATACTGAGGTTGCACTGAGAGGGTGATTGAGAGTGGGCATGGTGGCATATGCCTATAATCCCAGCACTTGGCAGGCTGAAAATAGGAGAATCACTACAAGTCTGATCTATGTAATGAGACCCTGTAGGCCCTATACTAAGTATATTAAAAAAATCCATCTATGGTTTAGGTGTTTAATGGGAATGTCTTTCAGGAATTTGGAATCATTATATTTCATATTTGTATGAGAAATATCAATGAAGATCACTTTATGTGATAAGAAAAAGCACTGGTGTTAATGCTGTAGTTGAGAAAAAAAATAAAGTACAATAGGTCTTAAAATAGATCCTACTTCCATTCCATTTAGTCATTTAACACATCTGACCTCCTACCATGCTAGTAATCCAAAAGGAAAACTTACAATAATTATCTGATGATTGCTAATGTAGAGGAGAATAGATGAGAGGGAGTTGACTGATTATGTAAATGACAATTAATACTACATTTTATAGTTAACCCCAGTTTATATGGCATGATGTTAACTGGACATCTAGCTGTGATTCCATGTGTTTAGAATGTAGAGGTAATTTGTGCATTGTGGCGATCCCTGAGTGCTACACAAATATGTTTGCACTTTAAATGATAGGCTCTTTTCTGGTAGTTTGAAAACTACTAGTGTGAATAAAGGTACTGTAGCAATTATTCAGCATAAGGAATAAAATATGATTCTTGTTCAAAACTTACCTAACAGACACAAAAGAACTATTGCTATTTTTAGGCAATGCATTTTCTGTAGAATCTATTCCAAGCTGTAGATCTTGGAAATATGGACATTTAAAAAAACTGAATAGTATTCACTGTAATGTTAATTATGCCATTAATAAATAGAGTGGAACATTGGTTCATGAACTTATTTCATTCCATGGCTCTGGAGAAGATGGCTGCAGTTGACTTTATTACCTGATGTCGATTTTGGGAAAAAAGCAAAATTTTGCCAAATATTTCTGTTTGTGAATTGAATTGTTCATGAGCAAAAGCACTCATGAACCAAAGTATTACTTTATGTTTATAGCACTGATGAAAATTGCAAGCTAACAGATTTAACTTTTAATGAATAAATATAGGTAATTAATCTATCATGGTGATAAGTGCTATAAGAATCTGTAAAGACACCAGAAGCAAATAGTATTGACATACTTGGCCTCATCCGGTAGGTAAGAGTATAAGTCTGTTACATTGGCTTGACAACATTGTCTGTGTAAAAGAAAACTTAACATTCAAAATAAAGAAAATGTATCACCAATTTTTTTTAAATAAAGAATTTCTAATCAACATCTCTTCCCCAATTAACCATCCATCCTCTCAAATTAAAACATGAATGTTAACCTCACAGACCATCATGTGTCCATGGAAAGTATGAAAGAACAAGGAGGTCTTGGTATAGAGGCGGCTGACTTCAGAGATTTCATGACTTGTGTGAATCCCTGGCCCTTAATGATCTCCTTTAAAAATAAGAAGGAATCAGGAAATGGACCTGAAATGGTTCTCTTTCATGATTATGGGAGCCAAATTCAATCCAGTAGACTACATCTTTACTTCAGTGACTGATTTCACTTCTGTCTTGGGCTGCTGTTTGCCTTGTTAAAAAGGAGTGTGAACACCCATGTCCTGAACAAGTGGTGTGCAGAGCAGGGGTGCTTCACTCCACTTAGCTGGGTCAAGCCAAGAACAGGAGGTGCAAGCCAGAGTGTGAGGAGTAAGGAGCAGGGCTGGGCACAGGCTAGAGAGCTGCAGAACATCACTGCCAGAGGTAAAGGAGGCCAAAATAAAGGCCTGGGCCTCATTAGCAGAGTGTTAATCACCATTTCATTTATCAAAATCATAATTAGGGCATTTAAAAGCTTGGAAAATTAAAGCAATATTGTTGTATGTATGTGTATACACATTTAAGTGGAACAAATACACAAGATGATTGGAAATAATGTAATGATTCAAAATAGATTAATTACTGAAATTAAAATAAAAAAAGAGAAAACATCCAAACAGCTGAAGAAAAAAGAAATGCTATTGTATAAGCAACCACTCTCTAGTCGCATCTGGATAATGAAACAGCACAGGTCAGAAAGAGGTCACTGAAAACTGTGTGACTGACCCAGGCCGCCTCCTCCCACCGGTCTCATCTAATTCTGGGCTCGGATTTTCTTGCAAATCACGATAATTGGGAGTCAGCTCACACATCTGCGAACCACAGCTCATAGACACAAGGGGAACAGAATGTGAAGTTGAGCATCTCTTCTGGAGAGAGGAGGGAAGTGACTTGTTTATGTACCATTTCATCACTCTTCCCAAGAGGCCCAGGCCTTGCATTTATGTTTCATTAACACTGCAGGAACATTTTAGCTTGAAAATACAGATTGACATTTCATTAGAAGGAATAAATTTGTATCCAGTTCTAAGTTAAAAATCATGAAATACTAGTGCTGTAAGGAAATGAAGAATGATGTCATACCATTTCCTGCTTTTGCAGGTTAGAGACCTTTGAACTAGAAATATTAAAAAACTTGCCAAATTAGTGAGAGCATCTGGACTAGAATCACCAGTAGTCTGCTTTACCACTTATGTGAGGTCAGTCTCCCACTCTCTAGACAAATATACCAGGGACACCAATCAGCTGTACTAATCTCCTTCCTACCACGTCCTCAGTACTCATTACATTGGAGGTGTTCTTACATTATCGAGAACTCTGCCCTCGGGGTAATCATTTTTGTTTTGCCATTCTCCTTTGCTAATCCAGGTAATTTCAATGACTGCATAGGCAGCTACTAGACTTACTAAGTTCATATTTTCTTTTCATTTTCTACATTATTTAAGTTGTTTTTTTTTTTTTTTTTTTTTTTTTTTTTTTTGAGATGGGGTCTTTGTAGCTCAAGTTGGCTCTGGCCTTCAACTATCTTTATATAGCTCAGGCTGGTCTCAAAGTCACAGTGATCCTCCTGCCTCAGCCTCCCAAATTCTGAAATTATGACTGTGTGCCACCACTCCTAGCTACTCTATTTATGTATTCTTTCACCAACCAACTTCTGTATTCCCATCCTGGACCATTTGACCCATAGAACTACACCACGTGTGAAGTTCTAATACTTCATATTATATTCTCTGATTGCAGCTCCTATTCCTCCACTTACATGTTAATTCACCCACATTAGTTGTAGGGTAAGCTGTTGAGAAAGAGACAGATCCCAGATTATCACGTAGTAGTGGAGAAGTGGGCGGTCCAATCTGGCAGACAGCAATGCTCAACAGGGTCGCCAAAGGAAACAAGATGTTCCTGTCTTGTGATTCTGCTCTCTTCTGCATATATATGTCAATCTGGCTCACTATTACTGTGTATCATTTTCAGACCTCAGAAGGAAGGCAGAGAATGAGGGAAAATATTGCTCTGTTTTTCTTTTCTAATTAAATGTTGTGCAATAAAATTGCACACATTCTAATGACTGACCTCCAGACAGAGTTTGGTCTCTCAAGCATACCTAGCAGAAACAGACACTGGGAAGTATAATGCTTAGATGAAAAATCTTGGGTGCAGCATAAATTGAGATCCTTATTTTGAAAAGGAAGAAAAAGAAAATAATTTGGGGACACCATTAGCTATTTCTATTGCAGCTGTCCACATTTCTGTTGGGTAGCTTCACAGCAGCCTCTGGTGCCTTGATTCTGCACCCACAGGTGGCAGTTTCATCCTCAGCTTACTCCCATCTCTATCAAATGAGGCACCCACAGCACACAAGCATGAATGATGTCTCACTGGTTCCTTCAAGAGCTTCTCCCAGCTATCCTTTAGTGGTATCTAGCCTAATTTCTCAGTGTGTCTTCCTATTTTATGTTGTATGATATCAAGGAATACTGGATAGTACATCCCAAGGGCATGCATATATTTTGTTGGATTCTAATTCACTAGGAGTCAAAAACACTTAAATTCTCACTAAATCCATTAAATTATAAGCTTCCCCAAGACAATAATTATTAATCTTTTAAAATATTCAGGGCCACATTACTGCCATCCTGTCTCTTGGGTAGATGATGGTTCAAAAACAAGAGTGTGGTGAATGAAGGCAGGAGACAGGAAAAGGAAAGTTGTGGGGCTGTCCTGCTACAAAGTTATATATGGTTAGATTTCTGGACTTATGTGTAAACATAACAATTATATAATTCTTTATGCCTATTTTTAAAATATATATTTTAAAATGTTTATTCATCATATTTTGTAGAGACTTTAAGTTCTACAATTGCAGAACAGCCTACATTGTATGGTAATAACAATAAGCTTCTATTTTGGAGGATTAACAACCTAAGTTTGTAGACCAAAATTAGAGAAAAAGGAGGGCCTCAAGGAAAGTTAACATTTTGGCCCTAGCCTTCCAAGATCAATTAAGACTCAGGACAAGTCCTAGCCCAGGTCCAGTGAGTGTGTGGGAGAGCTATCAGCTACCCTGTGGGGGGCAGGACCTATTACTGATCCCAGCCCAGGCACAGCTTCAGTGAGACCATTTTCCACGCCCTTGGGATGCTCCCACCACTCCGCAGCACCTCCCCGACACCGCCCACCAGGTAGGAATTTCTGCTGCATTCTGGGAACCCGCAGAATCAGTCCTAGCCCAG